CGGTGGTGCACACGTTCACGTTGGTTCCCGTGGAGGACTCCGCGGCGAAGTGGGCAGCAGTGGCCAGGTAGTCGTAACCCGCCTTGGGCTTCATGATGTAGGCCACCAGGACGTGCTTGCCATTCCTTTGAGGCACAGGAACACAAGGCAATTATCTTGCTTCACATTGCTTCAAGACACCCACCAAACCTTCCCCCACACTTTAGAGAATCATATAGCATCAGTCGCAAATTCAGAATCCTACCAAGTTACGCAGCTTGCAGCTGAGGCTCTTCACGAGGGTGGCCTCATCCAGGGACAGGTCGGCGTAGCGGCTGGACTGGTCCAGAGCACGACGCGTCACAGCGCTCTCCTGAAAAATCTGCTGACGTGTTGACTTCTTCTGGTTTGGGGGCGGGCAGCAAGCTGCAAATGCCAATCCATTCATCTCGAAGCCCTCAACCTCTACCTACCCAACAATGATCCGATTAGCGCTGTGGCAGTGCTGGTGTTCATTGCAGAAGCGGCAGCAGCAGCAGCAGCAGCAGCAGCAGCACCAGCAGCACCAGCAGCAGCAGCATGAGCGGTAACGGTACCTGCACAGGCACCAGTGCAGGTGCAGCAGCAGCAGCACTACTAGCTGCGGTGGCTGTGCTGTGATTACGCAAGCCCGTCCTTGGTTGGCACCACTGTGGTCGGAAGTGGTGTGCCACGAGCCTGTCGTCCTGTCGCTTGCAAAAACAGAGCTGGTTGTAGGTATGTACAGTACCATGCGCGGGATCTTGCCCTTTCAATGCTTTGGAAATATGTTGCTTTTTGAGAAAATCTCTGCCATGGCCTGGGGACACTTGCCAGCTGCATCATTCTTCAGATACTGCTGCACTGGAAAAAACAAAACTGTGAGTTGATTTGAAGCGTTCATGTACACGTACCATGTCACCGCACAAGGATCAGGCGAGCAAGCTGGCTTGGGCAACCCTCGGTTACGTCAACCTGGATAAGTCCGCCAGCAAATACCTACATCAAAGCGGAAAAATTTGTCAAAAAAATGCAATCCTGAGCTAGATTGAAGCTTTCTCTACGAACCGTCCGTGTCTAGCACTTCTAGGACTGGACGGCCTTGTGGCACATGCAACATTGTGGTCTCACAAGGAATGTCAAGGGCCGGGACACATGATCTGGGGATCAGATTCAAGATAGGCAGACCCTTTCTTCACCTGGCCGGGCGCCAGCTGCCATGGCAGCTGCGGCCACGGCGCCACCAGCAGCCAGCGCGGACAGGGAGGAACTGGCACCGGAGGTCTGGACCTGCCAGCGCGTGCGACAACAACAGGAAGAATGAGAATTGCAGCTCGCAGGCATCCTGATGATGAGGACAATGCTCATGATGGCAACACCCATGACCAAGTCAATGATACAGTACGCTTTAATTAGAGCTCCTGCCCTCAAGGACGCAAGTCCTTTGCGTGGCAGAAGGCTGAGATGCTCTCTACCCGCTCTATCATCCAATGTCTTTTTGTCAAGATGTAGTGCTATGCAGCTTTTACACACCAAAGGGGTCCCCTCCCCTTCCGTTTGCAAGTGGCTTTGCGATGACACTTCCCGCAAACTTCTGTCTCAAGGCCCTGACCTGCCAAAGGAACTACAAAAATTGATGAAGTCTGCACGGAGCACACGTGGACAGCCATATCAGACACCCAAAACCTCCGGCGCCTGCGCCTTTGTGGTGGCGGCTCCCCTGAGCGCGGGCTGCGTCGTCGGCGCAGCCACGAAGGCGGAGGCAGCGTTGAGGAGCGCCACGCCGCCTGTCAGGGCAAGGGTCAAGGTATTGTTCAAGAGCTCAAGCTGTTCGAGTGCGCCTGGAATAAACACACTCCCTCTGCATGACTTCAACAAAGCAATCAGGTTTCGACCTGCGGCAGCTCCCGCCAGCGCCATCTTGGAGGAGCGCTGCGTCATTGGACCGAGGAAAGTAGAGTCCGCTTCTTGGGCCGTTACTAATAGCTGCGAGAAGGTTGTGATGGTTTATAGGCGTCAGTCGTCACTAGTACTAGTCGTCATAGCAGCAACAGCAGCGTAGCAGTAGTGGCAATAGGAGGGAGCGTACCTGCATGAAATGCCTAGGAATCAATCAAAATGTGCAATTCGCCTCGGTAATGATCTATCCGTAGTGCACGCAACGGCATACTTCCGTGGCGGCAGCATACTTCCACAGCGAGATAGCAGAGATAGCAGGTGGAATGGAAGCCACATCTGCCAGAACCCGTGAAATGCCAATCCTTTGTACAATCTCTGCATTGTGGCACCTTCTTCTATTCTATTACTGTACTCAACTCCACCACTCTCGGTAGAAGTTGTACAAGTATGGAAGCTGTATGAGGCTGTTCAAATATTTGCATTAAATTTGTCTGTCTAACCTTGCGGATCTCAAGTGCCCTTTGGACGTGGTCCGATGCGCAGGGATACTCAGTGCGGCACATACCTAAAGCCCATATGCGAGCAGCTTTTCTGGCACACGCCGTTTGATGGAACGAGTCAGATTGCAGAAGAAAGGCCGCGGCAGCAAGCGAGTCAGTTCAGCCGTGATGTGCCTTCGGCTTCCGTACATAAAGCAGGCTACTTGGTCAACCAGACACCCATCAACGTGTGACTTTGAAATATTGTGATGATGCAGCGGAACACCTGCAATTGACCCATGCTGATCATTCTAATCCAGTCAAACAAGTACTTTTTTGCAGTAAGGTGGTGGTCCTCATCTGCATCGGAAGAATATGGCGCATTGATGATGACACTGGAAGCGAGGCTTCTTCCCAGTGATCAATAGTAGCGTTGAAACCGTGTTCACAATGACCCTAAATGTCACTTGCATCTGACGGGCGCTGCCCACAGTCTTTTATCCGTTACTCGAAGCCGATTCTTGGAGTTTCCTGCTGGCTTGCGCTGTAAGAGCTTTGTGGCTTCATACTTGACTGCAAATGCTGGCGCGTGGAATTGCGCGGAAAATGTCATAGCTGCCCAAGGGAGCACATCGCTAACATCCCGCCCTGCACTTTCTTGTTCAACAGGATGACTCTAGTATCTCTAGTATTCCATTTATCTTAAGAAACTGGTCAAAATGAAGTGGACAGGAGGGACTGGACTGCTCCCACAGCATGGCAGCTCACAAAAATGGCTATCCTAGAACCTAACCTCGCTGTCCCTCGCTGTAGAGGAAACTTTTCAAGGCCCAACTGTCAGCTTCTGTCCTGATCTTCGGAATGGAAAACTTTCGTTCTGAAGCAGAAACCCTAATTGTTGATCATTCCCCATCTGGGGGTTTCTTCAAAATTCGGATCCCACTTTCGGTCTTTTGGAAATTACAATGCGGATCCTGCTTGCTATTCAGTCAGGGGACCCTAATTTTGAGAACGCTTCATATCATTCAAAAGCCCTTTTCACCGCACGGTGCCAAGGTCGCTGCCCTGCCAAATACGGTCTTGACTGGAAGGGAGGTGGCGTTCGAGGGTTAGGTCCCAGGACTGGTCCATGACTTTGATATGCTTCAAAAAAGGGTTGTCACAGTACTTTAAATACCTGTTGCCTGCCGCTGCCCAGTGCTTTGAACCCTAAACCCTAAACACTGAACCCTGAACAAAAATAGCGTAGTAGTTTCAATTTCTTCCATTCTTAGTCCCCCAGAGCACACCACAAGATTCCTGAAGGCTGCTGCTCAGAGGCCTCTAAGATGTGTCCTTCTCCTCTATTTCAGTCCAGTACCATCCCCCCATTCTGAAAAGTAGCCAATGCTATGAGCTTTTACAAAAGAATTTCTGCTTCAACCCTTCTCAGCAGCAGGACTGTCATATCGTCTAGACTTGTCGAAGATGGTAAACTGGATTGGAAGCTCAAAACTCGCCTCTGTGGGTGCGCAATTGCGCGCCTGGCGCTGTCCCAGGACCCCACGAATCACCGCGAATCTGTGCCGAATCTATGCCTTCAGGGGGTGACTGGGGTGGGGCATTGGTCCGGTTCTTAGTAATTACACTAGTTGTATTTGAGATAATCAACGCCTTCTTGGCCCAGTCGAAGCTGGCCGCCTGCACGGAGGACTCGCCAGTGTAACCGAGCTTCTCTTTCCAGCCCGGGTAGATCTGGTCCG